CAATCCGTGAAGCCCCTCTAGAGAAGTGCCACCACATGCAATTTGTGTTGTACTGGTTATCAGGTCTCAAACAAAAAAGAGCGCCGCATAATCTTCTCTTTTCTGTAAATTAAACTATGCATATTAATTTGGTTTCCTAAAAATTAACAGCGTAAGCCTTCTCTTTCCGGTTTTGGAAGACGTATCTGTAAATTAAGCTATGTATGTTAAGTTTTATTTTCTTGAAAAGTTTGACCAAGACCAGTTAGAGTCTTTTTCCGGCGTAGGCCTATCAGTATTGGGGTGGTTAGTATAAGGGTGATAGTTCACTCTCTTCGTTACTACAAGAAATCATCTTTTAGTTAAGAAATTACATTGATAGCACCACTGTATGTGCCATATGGTATACTATTACGTTGGCTTTGCTCAGCTCAACTCGAAGAAAAGATTCTTCGCATATGACATCATTAATTTATCAAGTATACAATATTTATATTTGTTGCGATTAATATACCTGTTGGCATTTGTACCTTATTTGGCATTTTTACTTTATATGCTACTGAGCGAAAACAAAAACTGTGTTATTGACACATCTGGAAGATGAATGGAAACCGGAAGGGTATTTATTAGCAATGAGATTGGGTGATACAATTATATATTTTCTTATACAATTTTTAAACTAAAATAAGTATATTTTTGCACCAAACTAGGCAAAATACAGATAAGAGTGTTGTCTTAAATTTCGCAAAAACCATGGTGTCAGTGCTTGTTTTAGTAGTCATGGTCTCAGTTGATATTTAGCTTTGTTTTGACACGCGTCAATATAAAATTAATCCACAAATGAGCACAAGAATATGGTTGTTGTTCAGTTACCACTCCATCGAATGTTTACACCATTTACTACATGCAAGTCCAGAGATCAATTCTTGTACCAGGTTCCTATAGTAAAACTACAATTATGTTTTCCATACTTTTTGAATTGTTGTTCCAAAAAATATGTATAGATTGTTCCATCTAATCATGCTTGCATAATCATGTCCTGCATCCAGGGGGGATTTGGAAGACGAAATCAGGCCAAACAGCTGGGAGGGGACAATGGCCACCATCAGGCTCCTCCTCAAATGCTTCACATACTACAGCATGGCAAGCTTGCAATGGCAGCGGAGGATCTTCACTTCCTTTGAGGAACTATGGAACTCAACCTTCTGATCATAGGCCTGCTGCCGGAGGTAATCGGGGGCCATCATCACAAACATATCCGAGAGAAAATCCAGTTGTGTGGCCACCTCTGGCAAATGGTCCGCAGTCGGCATCCAGGTCTCATCCATATGGCCCTGAAAGCAACAAGGACGATGTTCCTTCATCTAGTTTTGACCCTGAGGACAGTTCTGAAGGTGATGATTTGTCAGATGATGACATTGATGATGATATGAGCGAGGAGAATGATTCTGATGAAAGTGAAAAAAGTTTTGAGACTCAAAAAAAGAATAAGTGGTTCAAGAAATTCTTTGAAGTCATTGATACCTTAAATGAGGAGCAAATACATGATCAGACTAGGCCATGGCTTTGTCCGGCATACCAAAATGGACCTGGGGCAATTGACTGGTTCAAAGGGCTACAAGCTTTGGTGAGACATGCGAGAACGAAGGGCTCTAGAAGAGTTAAGCTCCATAGAGAATTTGCCACATTGCTAGAACAAGAGTTAGGAACTACACTGCTACCACCTGGTGAGCAATTTGGGAAATGGGAAGGATTGTGAGGGAGCACTGATCGCGAGATTGTATGGCCACCAATGGTTCTTGTCATGAACACTTTACTGGAACAAGATAATGATGACAAGGTGATGTATTTTCTTCCTTCTGGTCATGAACCTATTCCACATCAAATACAAATATGTGTTTCGTCTGTGTTGATATGGTAGAGTTAATGGATCCGTTGCACTTCATGTATGTGCCTTATGGTACACTATTACGCTGGCTTTGCTAAGTAGACTTGTAGAAAAGATTCTTCGCATACCACATCATTAATTTATCAAGTATACAAATGTACATATTCATTTATTTATATTTGTTGCGATTAATGTACTTGTTCGCATTTGTACCTTATTTGGCATTTTCACTTTATATGCTACTGAGCAAAAATAAAAACTGTGTTATTGACACATCCGGAAGCTAAATGGAAACTGGAAGGTACTTATTAGCCTCATATGTGCTATCCTAATTTAGCAATGAGATTGGGTGCTACAATTCATATATTTTATTATAAAATTATTAAATTAAAATAAGTATGTTTTTGCACCAAACTAGGCAAAATACAGATAAGAGTCTGTCGTCTTAAATTTTGCAAAAACCATGCTGTCAGTGCTTGTTTTAGTAGTCATGGTCTCTGTTGGTATTTAGCTTTGTTTTGGCACATGTCGATATAAAATTAATCCACAAATGAGCACAAGAATATGGTTGTTGTTCGATTACCACTCCATTGAATATTTACATCATTTTCTACATGCAAGTCCAGAGACCAATTCCTGTACCATGTTCCTATAGTAAAACTTTGATTACAATTATGTTTTCCACACTTTTTGAATTGTTGTCCCGAAAAATATGTTGGTTGCACTTTAATAGAACATCTCTTTAATAATCTTTCAATGATCAGCGATGATGATTATTGTATTCTGACATTGCTATACTTTTTATTCTCTAGTGGTTAGGCATGGGCAATGAAGAGCTTCTCGAGTATTTCCCTGAATACGATGCAATCAAAGCGTGACATGCCTATGGTCCAGGTGGGCACCGTGGCATGAGTGTGTTAATATTTGAAAGCTCTGCCGTGGGTTATATGGAGGCTGAACGTCTGCATAAGCACTTCGTCGGTGAAAGAACAGACAGGGAAGCATGGCAAGCTCCGTCTAAGCGTCGGTTCCTACCTGGTGGGAAAAGACTCTTATATGGTTTCTTAGCCAACAAAGAAGATATGGAGATTTTCAATAAGCACCACCAAGGTATACTGTTTAACTTCTTTTCATGCATTTAATGCTTTTGCTTCCATACGATTGCTCAGTTATATGGTAAATACCTGTTTGATGCTGAAATTTTGTAGCCTTAAATTCTGTGCTAGCAATGATAATTGCTGCAGATGCAAGTATGCAACATGATACACCTGTCAAGCTGCATATTTCTCTGTTCTTTCCTTCATTGACATCTTAACTTTTTGAAGGAACCTGACATTTTTATTTATGTTTCGCAATTGACAATACTTGGACCTCATCCGAACTTCAGAATGATTATTTGAAGCAGAATACACCCGGTCTGTTAAGTTTTCCGATGTATTTGATTACTAACTTTTGGGGCTTGGTAGCATTTGCATTATGATCGTGTGATTGTTCTGATGGCATGTTTTCTTCATTATATTAGTAGTAGAAGCCAATATGCAACGGGTTGCTTGGGATAATTTGGAGAAGATGAGGGATAGATCCCTGCCCATCTTTGTTCACCTATGTATTTGCAGTTTTTTCTCTGATCATGGCATCCTTTGTTGTTTGCTCACCTATAGATTCTGCATCCTTGTGGCAATTCATAGTTCATCTGTATCATTTTTGTGTGTACTATATATGGATACATGCTCTAATGGCAAGGGCCTGGTTCACATTATATTAGTAAAAGCTATTAGTAACAAGAAGCCAATTACATCCGTAAGAAGAAACAAAGGCAGCTTTATTTGGTTTATTACTATGAAGACGTTGCCTGCAAGTTCAATACACACTGAAGCACTGTAAAAAAATGTATCATCCACACAATCTGTTATGCATCTACTGAATATGACCTGCAAGTTCTGTTTATTATGAAGACGTGGCCTACAAGTTCAATACACACTGAAGCACTGTAACAAAATGCATCACCCACACAATCTACTATGCATCTACTGAACATGACCTGCAAGTTCTGTTTATTATGAAGACGTGGCCTGCAAGTTCAATACACGCTGAAGCACTGTAAAAAAATGTATCACCCACACAATCTGTCATGCATCTACTGAACAGGACCTTCAATACTAGATGATGATCTAGCAGATACTCCCTCTGTAAACTAATATAAGAGCATTTAGATCACTACTTAGTGATCTAAATGCTCTTATATTTCTTCACGGAGGCAGTACATTGCCTATTGTACTATACTTTTAACATAAGTGCTTTATTATATTTTCAGGAAAAAGTTGCCTGAAATACGATATGAGATCTTATAATGAAATGGTAGTGGTAGGTATGAAACAAATGAGTCTAGACAATCAGCGACTGAATCATATGAAGAACAGGGTGGTGAAGACAGAGAAACACTCTAAAGTTGTAGAAGAATCGCTTGGTGTCGTCACTCAGAAATGTCGAGAGACTAGTGAAGAGAATAAGCTGCTCATGCGTCGGATTAAAGAGAAGCACTTGGAGCATGAGGAAGAGGTAATGGTTTCTCAACGGTTACACCAGTATATATGATTGAGTGCAGATTTTCTTATCTCTACTGGGGTATACAACAGTATTAATTAATTTAAAGTTTGCAATATTTATGTCTTGGCACTATGCAGCATTATAATGTCCGTTTTAAAGCAATCCATATTTAGGTCAAAATAATACAAGTATATGCATGTCAGCCGTATTAGTGGTTGAGTGATAGTCACATCTAAGCAATATTGACCCTGTTCTGAATTTGACTTTATTAAGGTGTCAAATGTGGATGCGCCGCAATGAAAGTGATGAAAACATGCAAATCTCAAAACACGAAAATATGGATATAGAAAATATATTTCTCATATATATAATTTTGTGAACCTGCATATGAGCATTAAAAATACCATTTATTTTCAAACTCTATGCATGCCAATGACTTAAAATAAGATGGGCATGCCCAACATTAGACTGAAACTTCCTGGTGGTTCCTTTCTGTGCAATACAGATTTTTTCCAATTTGTCTTGTGTTGCTCTTTTCCTTGTTTTGACTTATTGCCTTGTTCACCTTGTTTCCTACACTTTGCAGATGTCTTCCCAGGAGAAATTTTTCGATGACCAGATAGAAAACCTTTACAAGGCCATGGAGGAGAAAGAAAGTGAATATGAGAAGAGACTGCAGGAGGAGCGTGCAAAGGCTAGACAGTATGATGTGGATTCTGGGACTACTGAAAATCGCAAGCTAAGGTGCGTAACTTGTACTTGACTGGATGATTCTATTTTGTCGGTCCGCGTCACAAAATATGAGTCCGTGCTTGTAGGATGTAATAATTTTTTTGATGGAACACTCGTATTCCATCTTTGACACGGCGAGATGGATCAATCTTTTTTCTAGGATGTAATCTTCAAATGTGTGTTTGGGGACAGAATTCTCCTGATCAACATGCCATGTATTCTTGGCTTCTCGTACCCATCTCAAAGTAGCGAAACGCTAACTTTTTTAATCCATCTCACCCTCTGCAGGAAGCAGGAAGTGCAGCGTTTCATAGATTGCCAGGCTAAGGGCATGGAGAAGTTTATGTCTAAAAGGGACGAACTGATAAAGGCACATGAGAAGAAGAAGATGCAGCTCAAGAGAGAGTATATGGAGAAGGAGGTGGAGCTCGAGAAAGAGCTCGATGGCGCTCTCACGGTTCTGATGGAGAAGAACAAGCCAGACACCTTCAAGGCTTCTAGCTACAGCTCGTGAAGATGGCCGTACAATTTCAGCTGAGAACATTTTAGGGCCGATAAGGAGACCTGGACCTATGTCGGTGTCTTATGGCCAATGTCATGAAACTTAATTAAACATGCAGGAATGTCAAGGTCTGTCTACCAACATGTAATGACCGCGTCGAGACCTTAAATGTGTGTGGATTATGTTTGTCACCTTGCTCCGTCGAAACCTTAAATGTGTATGGATTATGTCGTCACCTTGCTTTGCTTCTACCCTGTGCTACAAAATCAAATACTCCCCGCATTTTCTAACGAACCTCTAGCCAGGAGTTTCTTGCAGTTCCATTAGAAAAAAAAGTATTGGCACCGGACTGAAAACCATACATATGTGCTGCTGTGCCCAATCCATGAACGCCACTTTCCAAGGCTTTTGCCCCAAAAGCCGCCTCCCACACCGCCTAAACGACAATGCACATCTAGCTGGCCTCTAAGGCCTCGCTCGCACATTCTTGACAAGGCCAAATCTTGAGTTCTCACCCGGAAGAACACGAGGCCATGGTGGTGGGTGGTTGGAGCTTCACAACAATGCCTTAAAAAGGAACAACGTCAAGAAACATCATGGTCACCAACAGTCATCAGTCAAAGTTGGGGCTTCACCTGGAACTTATCCGACAGTGCAGCCGGCCAAGCCGACCAATCAACACTACTCAAGCTTCTGGACACTTGTATGCCGCCAAACCTGTCGTCGGTACGGTGGTTCCCGATCTGCGCCGTCTTCAAGTGCGTCGGTATCATCCACGGTCCACCATGCTTGCATGACGGGAGACGCCTCAAGCCACCGCCCACGCCGACCTCGTGACCAAGAGGGCCCGTTGCGCCTCCTCATGCTTGGAGTCCCGCTCCTGTGCACAAACACGACACCAAGTCAGCGTAAAGCCTATTGTGAGATCAACCAGATCTATGCCCAATGTCTCCCGCCACATTACGCTGCAAAACCAAATCACATTAGCTGCTACAATACCCACCCTGAGAACAGATTCACGAGCCCAGCCATGCATGCCGGCGAGCCGACCGCCGCCGTCAACAAAAGAGAATGCCCCA